TTCTAGTTCTTCAACTATCCCTTGTTCCACTACTAGACTCTCCACATCAATTCTTTCCGCGACAGCTATAACTGTGTGTTCTTCCTGTAGCGGGCTTTGTTCCACTGATCCGTCATATGTAATGGTCCATCTTGGATTAATCTTGATAACGCCCTTCCAATCGATGTCACTTCTTCGCGTTTTATCTCTTGGATAAGGGATAAAACATACCTGATCTGCTTGGGATGCCAGTATAAAAGGGTCGTATTTTCTATATCGACGGGAGTAACAAATATCAGTGATCCCTGATTTGTTGATCCGTATTCCGCGTTCCGGCGTCGGATCAAACCAGTCACATCTGAAAATCATCACTTTGAGTCCAATATGACCCGAATATTGTACTTGGAAAATTTGCTGAAGAATGCCATGGAAATCTGGTTCATCATCCGAAGCACAGTAACTCGAGCCTTTCACACATATACCATAATTTGCCGTCGAACGATGTTGCCCATGTTCATATGTATGAAATAAATATCCTCTCGTAGAGAACATTGGCCAACATTTGACCAGCCGAATGGGACCTTTAACTAACTCGTGTAACCACAATGGATGATCTTCTTCCGATGATTCAATCTGTAAAAAATAATTGACCAACAATTTGGCATGTGATTAGTGTTCTTCCCTATGCGATATTATTTAATTTACTTATTCGATTTACGTACAAATTCTTTTAACCAGGTTGCGAATCCGTTCTCTTTAATCTGGCTTAATTGATCATCATTCACATCACTGTACGTATTGAATACCTGATCATCAAAAATCCTACAAAAAACCACAAGACAACTTATATAAGTTTAACTGACCATTCAATTAAAAAATAAATACGTATATACGCACCTTTCGAACGGTAGAACTTCTTCACAATTCAACAAAACATACGTGTGGACCACATGGTAATCTTTGTCCGATAAATGTGCATCGAATTCTCGACCACCACATCGTCCTTTTCTGTAGAAACATTGCGGGATATCCATGACAACATTTCCGTACTCCGGTCCATCTACGGTGTGAAATGATCTGTTTGGTTGTTTATTCTTTGTTTGCACTTGATCTTCAAAATAATACGAGGTGAAGAATGATATTTCTTCGTTTATATATTGCTCTACAATGTTTCCTTCAACAAACGCCTTTTGTTTCGCTTTTTGCTTCAAGTGGTACATAAACCGCTCAAACGGGTACATCCATCTACAACAATTACACAATAAATCTACGTTTCCATTCAAATACATAATTAAAATCATATAGATAATAATATTAATGTATATACGTACCTAAACTGAACCGGACCGTCGAGTTCCGCTTCTCGTGGTAGATGAATTGGCAGATGTTCCATCACAGCAAAAAAAAAATGGTGGGAATATCTTCTCTTAATTGCACCAAATTAGAACAATATTTTGCTTCATCAACTGGACGTCTTCATTTTTCAATGTCCGACTACAGATTTCCCGGAAAAAGTTACTAATTCCTACGGTTCAAAAACATGAGGTTATAAATACAATATCAACATATAACTAAAGCACACGTGTAAAGATCTTAAATACTATTAAAATCGCTACTACGAAACAAAACATACCTGATATAGCTTGGTTGACATGTTCTGGAAGTATCTCTGCAAATGCAATAGGTAACAATCGTTGCATGAAGACGTGACAATCATGACTCTTCATACCTGTTAATTTTTTTCCTCCGAGGTCAACACATCGCGAAATATTTGACGAGTAACCATCAGGAAATTTCACATCTTCCTGTAACCATCTAAAAAAGTTCATCTTCGCTTCTCCAAACACACGGAAAATTGGTACCGGCGCCTTGCCATCAGGTGTAAGTACCAAATCCTTCCTCGAACAAATCAACTCTATATCCTTCCTTGAGTTGATATTGTCTTTTGTTTTCTGAGCAACGTTCAACACTGTATTAATGATGTTATCGAAAAAATTCTTTTCGATATGCATAACATCAAGATTGTGTCGTAATTTATGATGTCTCCAATATGGCAATTCCCAAAATATACTCTTCTTATGCCAGTTGTGATAATCACCATATCTTTCAATCGGTAAATGACCGTTACCACCAACCACTGATGTAGTAGATAATCCATGTGACCGAACACATTCTTCGATTCGTTCAAGTAAAATTTCATCCCCGGTATGTTCAAGTGGCGCAGAATCAACAACAACTATATTTCTTCGAAAATTCTTCTTGTTGCGTCGTAACACGTGATTTCTTGGTAGAAAACGCCGATGGCTATCAAACCAACTCATTTTCCGTCCGTGCTGCAACCAAAATGCATCAGTTTCATCCATACAGTATGAACACGCTAGACAACCATGTGTTGTCCAACCTGACAACATAGAGTAAGCTGGAAAATCACTAATCGTCCATAAAAGAAGTGCTCGAAGCAAAAAATTCTGCCTCACCGACACATCGTATGCAGTGACACCTACACTCCACAACTCATTCAACTCTTCTATCAACGGTTGAAGAAACACGTCTAAACTTCTTCTAGGATGTGTAGGTCCTGGAACCAGTACTGAGAGGAACAAAAACTCTCTACTCATGCACATTCCGGGTGGTAGATTGTACGGTGTTAGAATCACCGGCCATACAGAGTAGTTCCGACCCGACATTCCAAATGGATTAAACCCATCTGTGCATAACGCTAGATAAACATTTCTAGCCTCTTGAAAAATCATGAAATACCTGTTGGAAATGTTTCCATGCTAACCCGTCTGATGGATGATGCATTTCCCCATCTGGAGTACAATGTTCATCGTGCCACCTCATATGTGATGCGGTTTTCTCAGACTGATATAATCTCTTCAATCGATCTGTAATAGGCATATAAAACATTCTTTTCAATGGAATCAACTTGCCTTTTTTGGATACTTTTCGTCGTGGCCGATACCGATCCTTCCCACAGAACCGACATTGCATCAATCCGGGTATTGTACTTGGAAAATTTGCTGAAGAATGCCATGGAAATCTGGTTCATCATCCGAAGCACAATAACTCGAGCCTTCGTCATCCTTCCAAAAAATCATGCAGTTGTTTTCGCAAACATCAATCTTTTTATACGGTAGCCCCAACTTCCGCATCAGACTCTTCGTCTCATAATACGATTCTGTTGCAGTATTACCTTCTGGTAGATATTGTTTGAACATCTGACTAAATCCGTCCATACATTTCTCCGGAATATTGTAATCAGTCTTCATGTTCATCAATTGTGACGACAACGACAATCTCGATAGACCTTCAATGCATCCTTCATATATTGGAGTGCTCGATGTATTAAGGATCTCGTAGAACCTTTTAGCCTCGAAAGTTGGCTCTTCTTCCTCCCCGTAAGATGGTTGACCGACATTGGGAAACGCATCAATCACCATTTCTGAATACGGATTTCTTTCTCCTTGTTGAAATTCGTTTGGCTGCTCATCGATAATGACTTGATTAACTACACCATATGAAGACGTCGTGTCCACTGTTTCTCCGTGAGCTAGCCAAACATAATAATTGGACATGAACCCTCTTCGATATAGATGATTCCAGACTTGCTGAATACACTGCCATTTCGTATTTTCACACTTCACACACGGACATGGAAGTTTCGACCCTTCGATATATGACGGTTGAGATGTAACAAACGTCATAAACGCTTGTAACCCTTCTTCAAAATCTTTGCATATTTGATTTGTGTATGAATCTATTCTTTCATACATCCATCTTCTTGTATTGAAAGACATTTTTTTTTGTGTTTTTTTCGTTTGGTGGGATTTTTTTTCGCTTGCTCGATGGTGATCTAAACGCGTGGGGGTAATATTCTTGAGAATTGCGACGGACGTGCGACGGACTTGCGACGGATGTCGGCACGTTTTTTACCTAACCCTGCGACGGATACCGACGGACAACCGAACCAACGACGGAATGCGACCGTTTGCGACGGACATTCTGAGAAAAAAAAACACGTTTCTTACCTAACTATACGACGGAGACGTTGCGTCGTATATCCGTCGCTAAAAACGACGGACTGCGTCGAACTTTTCCGTTGTAACATTTGCGACGGAGAAGACGGTCGGTATCCGTAGCCAATAGTTACGACGAATAGTCCGTCGTATACTTCCGTCGGAATTCCCTCGTTTTCGGTCGCAAAGATTTTGCGACGGAATAGTCCGTCAAATTCCGTCGTCTTATGTTGCGACGGAAACCGACGGATTACGTCAGATTGTTTTCCGTCTGTATTCCGTCGTTAACCGTCGTTAATTTTAGTGCGACGGACATATCCGTCGCAATGTCCGTCGTATTTTAGCGCTTTTTTTGTAGTGTAAGCATATAGCTTATGGACGTTGTTATGCAATGTTTCAGGTTCAGAGCAGTTTTGGCAGCGGCAGGACGAGGGTACTGGTGACGGGTGAGACGTTTTCTGGATCATGTATTTTTTCCTTTCTTGGACTTATGTTGTTTTGTTATCGGCTGTGATATGACTATGTTTTATATCGTATTCACCGTCTTTATGTTATGGTGTGTATACTACTGTACGTGGGTTTGTTTGTCATAAACTTATTTCCGCTGCGTATGTATAATATAAAAATGTTTTAAAATTCCCGCTATTTATATATGGTTGAGCGTCCATGTGGCACAACTCGTGGGCGGGATACGGGTTACGGGCGTCACAGCTTGTGGTATCAGAGCAGTTCTTTCCACGGGAAGGAATTGCTTGAAACCCACGAGAATAATGTGTTATGATTTCAAAACATTTCCGAAAAGATGTTTTTAACGTATTTACACATGATCCTGAAGTCACTAGAACTGAGATTTTCTCCCTTGTCTGCAGTGTACCGATGCCTCCGAGACATGGTAGACCTGCTCGTGCGCCGGCGAGGGAGGAAACCCCTCCACCCGCGCATGCACCACCGGATTTTCAGCAGCAGTTCTTCGATGCGATGTGGCATCATTTCTAGACCAACATGTCATATCCAGCTGGAGCTAGACCAGAGGGTGTTCCACCCCCACCCCCACCGGGACCACCAGGGTTTCCAGCCCCTATTGCTGTGGACTATCTGCCTTTGATACGCGAACTTCGGATGATGGGTACACCGAGGTTCGAGGGGACTCAGAGACCTGAGATTGCGGAGGATTGGCTGATCCACATCTCTAAGGATCTGGATTATGTACGATGCCCGCTGCAGTACCGGGTAGAGATCGCGAGCCACCATCTGTTTGGAGAGGTAGTACGTGAAGCTGCACCTGACCATTAGTTTACTTGGGAGGAATTCAAGGCGCAGTTTGAGGAGAAGTACTGCCAGAAAGGAGATCAGGATCACCGGATTGTGGAGTTTCTTCACTTAGAGCAGGGTGATCGCACCTTAGCTGCCTATGAGGCAGAGTTCACCCGTCTGCTGCGATACGGGTCACATCTGGTGACGACCGAGAAGCTGAAGATCCATAAGTTTGTGACTGGGTTGCGACCATATCTGAGAAGGCGGATTGAGATCCAGGAGTATCCTACTTTGAGTAGGTATATGACTCAGCTACAGAAGTTGGAGAGGAGGGAACAGGAGGAGGAACAAGAGGCGAGGGACCGAGAGAGGAGTCCTCTGAGGCGAATTACGTTCACTCGCCCTTCCTCCAGTTCCAGACAGGTGAGTCAACCCCGTGATAAGGGGAAAGCACCAGCGTTTCGTCCGGCGGCCCCACTACCGTCGGCACTGCCAGAACCGCGCAAATCTTGCCCACGATGCGGACGAGATCATGTTGGACCATGCCGCACAGGTTATACTTGTTACCGTTGTGGTCAACCTGGCCACTTCGCTAACCAGTGTATCGGGGATGTAGACACTTCCAGCCAGCAGGGAGCCACACCTCCACGTCCCCAGCCACCACGTAGAGGGGGCGTAGCGCCGCGAGTGTACATGCTTTCTGCGGAGGCAGAGGCTCAAGATGACGGGACCTACTTTGCCCAGGAGACGGTCACCATTGATGCTGTTGTTGAGGGTGACCCAGAGTAGTTGGATGCGGTACTATCACAAGTATCATACACCTTCATGGAACTGCATGTCATGCTTTGTTTGATACGGGGGCTACACATAGCTTCCTAAGTTTGAGGATGGCAGAGATTTTAGATGTGATGGATGTTGACACGGCTGAGCGATATAGAATGCATACTCCCTCGGGAGAGATTCTGCCAGTGACTGGTGTGTTACGCGGGATCCCTCTGGTAGTCTGTGGAAGGAATCTTTTAGCTGATCTGATCATAGTACCTATTCAGGGGTATGACTTGATATTAGAAATGGATTGGTTGTTCGTGCATCAGACACACATTGACTGCCGCCGGCGAGTTATTCAGTTTACAGATGCAGCAGGGAAGTTTGAGTTTCTGGGGGATAGAGCACGGAATCCTTTCCCGATTATTTTAGCATTTAGGGCCAGTCGGATGATCAGGAAGGGGGACGAGGCATTTCTCGTGGTAGTGACTGCCACGAAGGAGTCTGAGGTGAGGATAGACGAGACACCTGTGGTTCGGGAATTTCCTGATGTCTTTCCGAAGGATTTACCTGGATTGCCACCGGAGAGAGATGTGGACTTTTGTATTGATGTTATTCTAGGTACGGAACTGGTATCTAAAACCCCGTATCGGATGGCTCCAACAGAGATGGCGGAGTTGAAGAAGCAGTTGAATGAGTTGATGGAGAAGGGATTCATTCAGCCGAGTGTTTCGCCTTGGGGAGCACCCGTGCTGTTCGTCAAGAAGAAGGACGGTAGCATGCGGTTATGTCTCGACTATCGAGGACTTAACGGAGGATTGATGAGTTACTTGATCAGTTACAGGGAGCACAGTAGTTCTCGAAGATCGATTTGCATTCGGGATACCATCAGATCTGTGTGAAAGCCGAGGATGTGCAGAAGACGGCTTTCCGTACACAGTATGGACATTTCGAGTTCGTCGTTATGCCTTTTGGATTGACGAACGCTCCTGCAGTATTTATGCAGTTGATGAATCGTGTATTTATGAATTATCTCGACGAGTTTGTCATCATTTTCATCGATGACATTTTGATTTACTCACCGGATCGACTCAGCCATGAGGAACATTTGCGTATGGTCTTGAGACGGTTGAGGGAGCAAAAGTTGTACGCGAAGTTCAGCAAGTGTGCTTTCTGGTTACAGGAAGTTGGATTTCTGGGCCACGTGATTTCGGCTCAGGGTATACAGGTCGATCCGGCGAAGATTGAGGCTGTGGTGGAGTGGAAGACGCCTACCAATGCCACGGAGATCCGCAGTTTCCTGGGATTGGCAGGGTATTACAGGAGATTCGTCGAGGGGCAGAATCAATGATATGCACAGCAGAATCTAGGATACGGGCAGCATAATCAGGGTTACCGAGCTCCTCAACCTGCAAAGAATGATCAACCAGAAGACATTATTTACTGAGATGAAAACTGAGGTACAGAGCATAAGAGCTAGGCAAGACACCTTTGAGAGGAGATTAGATGGGATAGAAGCTCATCTGAAGCTTGTCGATACTCAGATTGCACAGCTTGCATCACAACCTCTAGACAGCAGGGCACATTTCCTGGAAAGCCCGAACCGAATCCACGAGAACACGTCAATGCCGTTCAGCTTATAAGTGGAGAGAGCATGCCTGAGACGGTCCCTATTACTACCACAGAAAAAGGGACGACGTCTAAATACACTGCTGAAGAAAAAAGGAAAACCATAGCTCACGAGACGCCTCAGGTGAATGCAGAGGAAGCCGAACCGCCATATGTAGCTCCTCCACCTAAGGTACCACCCGTTCCGTTTCCTTCTAGATTGAAGAAGCATACTGAGGATACACAGTTATCTAGATTTGTTGATATGCTTCGGAAGTTAGAGGTTAAGATGCCTTTCTATGAGACGATACTTCAGATCCCTTCTTATGCGAAAGTTTTGAAAGATACCTTGACGAAGAAGAGGGTGATTGGGAAGGAGACAGTCTCCTTGAGCACAGAGGTGAGCGTTGCGATTCTACAGCATGAGTTGCCACGGAAGAGATCGGATCCAGGTAGTTTCTCGATTCCTTGCAAAATCGGGAACATTGAGATTGACCGTGCGTTGTGCGATCTGGGCGCCAATGTGAGCTTTCTACCGTTGTTCATCTACAAGAAGCTCAACATTGGAGATCTTAAGCCGACGAGGATGGTACTACAGTTGGCGGATAGATCTGACAAGTATCCTGCAGGTATTCTCGAGGACGTCCCATTGAAAGTCGGGGACTATTATGTTCCCGTTGATTTTGTTGTTTTAGACATGGACGAGGACTCGAAGATACCGATTATTCTAGGCCGGCCATTCTTAAAAACGGCCGATGTGGTGGTTCATGTTCGTGCTGGTCGTCTGACAATGAAGATAGGTGACGAGACTGTGGAGTTCACCTTAGACCACAACATGAAGCAGTCATCCACCACCGATTCAACATGCTATGTCGATGTGCATGAAATCCTAACTCAAGAAGTCTTCGATGAGTTTCGGGAAGTCGATCCTTTAGAGATATCTCTCCTTGCGTCGAATGAGAGCATATACAGCAATTGGGAGGATATCCGGGAGCTTACACGAGCATTGAATGAAGGATCGGACGAAGACAAATTTTTACAGAAGGCGGATCCGGACCGATTCAACCTGGACTCGAGCCGGATCCAAACATGCTCTAGACCGATTCCACCTGGAATCGAACCAGATCCAGTCTCTGAGCAAATCAGACGTTTTTCACATCGACACGCTTGATTCTTCTACGAGCGTCTCCGAACCCTCCACGACGACTACTAAGGACGTTCTAGAGACCAGAGAGCCATCACTGTGCATGGGGATGCTGAATAAAGTGGATTATAGTCTAGAGAATGGCCCGAAGGTGAAGCTGAAGCCCTTACCTCAAAGGCTTAGGACAAAGGAGCACACATACACGGTTAGGAACACAGGACCATCATTGGAGAGAGGTACGTATCCTGCTCATAATCGTATATCCGTTTTTGAACCTTCTATTACAGGTCGTCGAGTAGGGGTAATGAGCAAGAGAGGATCGAAACAAGCAAAATCATCGCTCAAACGTCCACAAGATCCACCTCCGTCATAAGTTTGGAAACCCAAGGAGGATAGAAGGCTCAAGCATCCACGAGATCCAAAAGATGCGCTTAACGCTCAACATCTAGGGTGGCGAAAGATCGATTATCTTCACCTCTCAAACCCTCCTATCATTTGAGCAAGATAGGTCGAGCTAATGACGTTAAACAAGCGCTTCTCGGCATGGATGGCAACGTGCACACGTATAAAGCACGACTTGTGGCGAAAGGATTCCGTCAAATTCATGGTATTGACTATGATGAGACCTTTTCGCCCGTAGTTATGCTGAAGTCCATCAGGATCCTGCTTGCCATAGCCGCATATTACGACTATGAGATATGGCAAATGGATGTCAAGACCGCGTTCCTTAACGGGAACTTGACCGAGGATGTGTACATGACACAATCCAAAGGTTTTGTCGATCCAAGGAACCCGAGGATGGTATGCAAGCTTCAGAGGTCCATTTATGGACTGAAGCAGGCTTCGAGGAGCTGGAACCTCCGTTTTGATGAGACAATCAAAAGGTTTGGTTTCTCACAGAACGAAGACGAGCCATGTGTTTACAAGAAGGACAGTGGGAGCACAGTTGTATTTCTAGTGCTGTACGTGGATGACATTCTCCTTATAGGGAATGACGTTCCTACCTTGCAAGATGTAAAATCTTGGCTAGGAACGCAGTTTTCTATGAAGGACCTAGAAGAAGCGGCCTATATTCTAGGCATCAAGATCTATAGAGATAGATCGAGGCGGCTTCTAGGATTGAGTCACGATGTATTTATTGGATGAATACATTATTTATTTATTATTTATTTTGTATATTTGATAAATAATGATTATCCATGGATCGTGATGTACGATCCTAAATTCCTTAGTCACTTGTCATTGTGGGAACAGTGATGAATTAAGACTAACATGAGGCGTGATGGATGATCATGATGATGATCATGTGTATTGGATACGAATCACGGTCATGAATACTTGTTTGGAACAAGTAACTGGATGACTCGTGTGAGATTGTCGATTGGATTTTATCCATGACTTGAATCTCACTTGATGGTTCGCTTTAG